GGTCTTCTGCTCCCAGTAAGCTTTCCTTTAGCGTACAGGGATGAGGTCAATATTCAGTCAAATTTTCAACTAGTGAAAACTGCTTTGACTAGTGATACTGGTACAGAATATACAAGTAACTCAGGACCATCTGACCTACAAGGATGGACTCACATCCATATGCCCACACAACAGGTTTCGCTTGTCAAAACAGGATTATGCTTGTGATCATATGTGATGTTTGAAGACATAGCGTGTGGCTATTTTATGTGTGTTTTGCACTCAGTTCTCATATTCTGGGAATGTAGACGGGTTGACATGACTGTCATCTGACTATGCCTGCTGCTAAGGCCCTTGCCAGGAAATTTTTGTTACAAAATTACTCAAACAAGGGGAGTAGAGTGGGCAGATGTAATGGGTGTGGATCTACATAATGAAATAACAACAGCATTCGTATCCTTCCTGGATAATGGGTGGCCAATGTCACACTGTTTCAAGTATGGAAGGGAGAGTTCAAGACATCATTATGTTGTTCAAGCAGAATACATGAAGATAACAGTCCTGGTTATGGAAATAATCACAAAGATTCTAGTGTAATGCTTTTAGTGATGTTTTTGCATTAAATGTAAGGGACATTCACTGAAAGAATCAAGCTAGATTAATGACAACCTTTCATATCAAGAAATTGGCACAGAATGGGTTAAGCAATACTTTGAAGATATTTTGAAATAAATTGTGCCAAGCAGACTAGGCAATTGGGTATAAAACAGCTGTGTATCCACATGACATGAGACTCTTTTATGTAGCTGGAAATTAATCTATGGGCTGCACAGTCTAGATCTCTATCTGAAGATGGTACAACCTTCATCAGTGAACACTCAACACTCATGGAGTGATGGGCCCAGCACTTCAGCACAATGCACAATTAGCCATCAAGCTTGCCCTCCTTATTTTTACAATATTTCCTCATTATGAGGTGAGTATAGAACATTGTGTCTATTGTGCCCATTATGAAGGCAAAGAACCATCATCATCTGGTAGAGTGCCTAGTCCTAATGGAATCCTTACAAAAACACAACACAGGAAACCAAAAGCAGCAGCCTAAAACTCATCAAATGATTGCTTCAATTATTTAACCACTTATGGAAATAGAAACAGAGCACAGATGCATTTCAAAGGTGTTTCAATTATGCAAACTCAAGGAGGGTAGCAAATGTTGCAATAAACACTGAGGTATGTTGTTTGTGTATTATAGATATGATAGGCATACAGTCCACATAGGTCAATTACCCTCAACTTAGTATAGCGGTCATGCATATCATGGAGAAGGAATAATATAAAAGTGGAGAACCACAAAGCTTTTGTGCAGACATGGGACTGTGACAAATGTGTCATCTAAGTGGCAAATTAATTAATTGTTTGAAAGATTTTGTGTATTTGAAATAGTAAAGTTTTCATTAGGATTTGAAAATGTGAGGATTATGTAAATCATCTTCATCCTGTGTGATTGGTCATCAAGATATTAATATAATGCAAAAATTGCTTTAAAAACACTAGATGCAGTGAGTAGACACTGTATTTAAATAATTAAGTGGCTTATTACTATTCATTGTCCATTATCTATGTGGTCTCTGAATGAAACATTTTCCAAGATTTAAAGTGGTAGTGCAGTATGTGTTTTGTTAACAATCGCTTTGCTTATTATTTTTCCTCAAAATGTTTCCTTTATGGCACTCTTTAAGTGGGCCAACTGACCTGACATATACCAGTGATTAAGAGGATCACATATTTCCCTCCAACACACGTCTGGAAAGACAGAATTTGCAAAGCCTGCAAGGAACTCTCTATCAACGAGTAAACTAAAGAACAAAACAAAACAAAACAAAAAAATGGTAAGGAACTAAGAAGACACTTGTGGCAATTGGATTAGAGCATATCCATTTGGAACATGAGTTGGCAGTTTTCAAAAACAAGCCCTAACTAAAGAGAACTGCTCTGAAGAACTCCTAAAACAAACATCTTAGTGAATTGCGAGAAAATAATCTTTCATTTAATTCACTCTTAGAGTGATACATAAGTTCTCATTTATGTAACGTCATGGAATTTCCCTAGTAATCCTGGAAGTTCGGCAGAGATCAAGAAACTTAAGCCTTATCAGATTGAGTAGCTGAGGTCAGCCACAGCAGTGAGGCTGGGACCATACCCCAGGTCTCCTGAAACAACATATACATGCTGCCTAGTCTGTGCCAGACCCGTTAGGTGGACTGGATGGAAGATAGTTCCTTTCCCCGCCAAAACCAGCTCCATGCTCTTTTTTGGTTCAAGGCATTGCCTGGTAGTGCAGCAGGAGATTTAAATACTACATGAAATAATTATAGATGAAACTTGAATGATACCGAAGTGTAAAGAGAATGAGCTCTTTCATCACAATATGTGCTGCAAATATGACCAATTCAGACATTTTCAATGGTAAAAATTACTGCTTTTTTTTTTTAAATAAGTTTCCAGGGATACCTGGGTGGCTCAGTCGGTTGAGCCTCCCAGTCTTGATTTTGGCTCAGGTCATGATTTCATGCTTCCAGCACCAGTCGGGACAGCGTGGAGCCTGCTTGGGATTCTCTCATTCTCTCTCTGCCCCTCCCCTGCTCCCTCCCCCGCCAAAAACAAATAAACATTAAAAAAAAAAACAAGTTTCCATTCTTGAACTGTGAGGGTCTGCAACAAAAACTGGTGACCACAAAATAAGTTACAGTAACTAATTATGTAGGATGTCACTTGATAAAATGCTTTCTGCAGAAATGATCACATAAAAGAATATGTCTCTGTGAGCTGATGGAGCCATAAACAAAAATGCTAATGAGGTAAAACTGGTCATGATGAGGCTAAAACAATATCAAGAAATTGAAAAGGTTCTTATTAAGCTTAATTCATTTTGATGTATTTTGACAAAAAAAAATCTCAAAGGCTTTGTAGCGAATCTTATTCATTTAAACCGGGAATCTATTACCATTTTTTACTTTTATGCTTTAATGTAGGCATCTTTATCCTTAATTTAAAGATAACTATGAATAAAACATGAAAATCAGTGCATTCTCTTGTTCTCCAATCCTATATTTTCTATTCTACATAATATCTCATTGGCCCTCATATTTCATTTATACGCTAGTATGTAATGTTCAGGTTCGATGACCTTGGCAATAGGATATTCTTTTTTTTTTTAATATTTTTATTTATTTCTAGGAGAGAGAGAGACAGCGTGAGCAGGGGAGGGTCAGAGAGAGAGGGAGACACAGACTCTGAAACAGGCTCCAGGCTCTCAGCTGGCAGTCAGCACAGAGCCCGACGCGGGGCTCGAACCCACGAACCGCGAGATCATGACCTAAGCGAAAGTCGGACGCCTAACTGACTAAGCCACCCAGGCGCCCCGGCAACAGGATATTCTTAATAAAATGTCACAGTTCAGGAAGAAAATTAAGTGAACCTAGTTTGCTAACAATGTTTAAGTTAAAGGTTCCAAATATATTTGACTAAGAAACTTTGAAATGCTGGAGGGCGCTTGGCCAGCTCAGTGGTAGAGCATGTGACTCTTGGTCTCGTGGTTGTGAGTTCAAGGCCCACACTGCGCCCGGCCTAGAGCTTACTCAAAGGAGAATAAAAATATGAAATAAAACTACCAGTTATTTGGGGGACCTGATTGGCTCAGTAGGAAGATTTCAGGGCTGTGAGTTCAAGCCCCACATCAGGTGTAGAGATTACTAAAATAAATTTTAAATTTTCTTTATTTAATTTTTAAATAGTTTATTGTCAAGTTGGTTTCCATATAACACCCAGTGCTCATCCCAACAACACCCAGTGCTCTTCTCCATGCGCATCACCCCCAGCCCCCCACCCCCATCAGCACTCGGTTTGTTCTCAGCATTCAAGAGTCTCTCATGGTTTGCCTCTCTCTCTTTCCCCTACTATTTTTCCCCTTCTTCTCCCCCTTGTTCCTCTGTTAAGTTCCTCCTAATCCTCCTATACGTGCAAACATATGGTATCTGTCCTTCTCTGCCTGACTTAGTTCGCTCAGCATAACACCCTCAAGGTCCGTCCATGTTGCTACGCATGGCCAGATTTCATTCTTTCTCATTGCCATGTAGTATTCCATTGGATAGATAAACCACATCTTCTTGATCCATTGGTCAGTTGATGGACACTTAGGCTCTTTCCATGATTTGGCTATTGTTGAGAGTGCTGCTATGAACATTGGGGTACATGTGCCCCTATGCATCAGTATTCCTGTATCCCTCGGGTAAATTCCTAGGAGTGCTATTGCTGGTATTTACTTTCTTTTCTTTTCTTTTTTTTTTTTGAGACACAAGGAGAGACAGAGCACAAGTGGGAGAAGGGCAGAGAGAGAGGGAGACAGAATCTGAAGCACGCTCCAGGCTTTAAGTTGTCAGCACAGAGCCCAATGCGGGACTTGAACTCACAAACTGCGAGATCATGACCTGAGCTGAAGTCGGACGCCTCACTGACTTAGCCACCCAGGCACCCCATGATTACTAAAATAGATTTTAAAAGACATTTTCCTCCTGGATGGCAAGATTTTCACCTCATACTCTTTCAGTCTGACTTTACTTGTCTTCTGAAAGCTGACTGGCTCCTGCCAAGTATATTTGGTAACATAGGTCATAAGCTATAATTCAGTAAAGGGCTTCTTTAGGTTCTCTGAGAATTATGATCACTGTATTCAAAATTTAAACCATATACGAAGAAGTAAAAGTATGGTAAGGCTGCAATTTCTCACTCCTACAGAAATTCTTTAATTTTTTTTCCTTCAACTCTATCTTGATCAGTGGGCTTTAATGAGATGAGCTGTGATCTGGCTTAGTTCTACAAACACAAAGTCCACATACTGTCTTAAAAAACAAACAAAACTTATCACTTCTATGCTATTATTAACTTTAGTACTTTCAAAGCACATCACACAGACATCGATAAGTTTAAATTAATGTTATGTGCATGTAGAGGAGACTCACCTTTAAAGAATCAAAACATGCCACCACACGACCATTTTCCACGTGGCAAACTCTTGGCGGATGGGCAAACTTGCAGTCTGCATCAGCTCGAGAGCAGGTTCCTCTCTGAAATTCTCGGCAGACTTCTAAAGTCAGCCACTTGGTGTCACGAACCAGGGTGACATTGACAGCCGTCATATTGAGAGCAACGTTAAAATCAAGGGCACCCTCTCTTGGACAGTTTTACTGCTGTTTAAAGGTTCAAAATGAATTCAAGCTAAGTGTGAAGAGCTAACAGGCTGTTTTGGTGAAATGTGTCTTTGTTAGCACTTAGGTTTTCATTTAAGCCAAAATTTGGTCTAGTCAAACAAAGAGCCAATCACAAAATAAAACTTATATTGGAGTAAGTAGAAATCAAATTAGAGACCAACTCCTAAGAAGGCAACCAGAAAGGTAAAGATATTGAGTGTTTAATTTGTTCCTCTGCCGAAGTTCCTTCAAATAACTGGCAGAATTTCAAAAGAATTCTGTGCTCTCCGGTTGATGTTTTCAATTATTTGTGCACAAAGCATATGCTGCTGCCTGCCCTTCAATTTGCGGAATGGTCTCAGATCAAGGGGAGAAAACTTTTTCTTCCTATTTCTTGGATTTATTGATTAAGATTGGTAAGGATGTTAGGACTGTAAAAAAAAAAAATGCTGCAAAATCAGAAGGAGGGAAAGTGACTGTGAAAATGGAGAATCAAAGGGAAAAAAGAATGGGCACGTTGCTGAGCATGAACTACAAGCACACCAGGTTGGGAGAGGGACAGGTAGGGAGACGGGTTATAAAGAGACAGGTCTAGAGTGGAATCCAAGCAGTAGTTTTCAGAAAAGGCACTTTTCAGAAACCTGTAAGAAAACAAAAATAAAATTAGCTAATATAACACTTCTGTTTTAAGCTCTAGATTTGGAAAAGAAGTATGATAGCCTATTTAAAACAGGAAGCATCTAGGGGCACCTGGGTGTCTCAGTTGGTTAAGCATCTGACTTTGGCGCAGGTCATGATCTCCCAGTCTATGGGTTCGAGCCCTGCGTAGGGCTCTGTGCTGACAGCTCGGAACATGCAGCCTACTTCCGATTCTGTGTCTCCCTCCACTGCTTTCTCTCTCTCTCTCAAAAATAAACATTCAAAAAAAAAAAAAACCCAGGAAGCATCTAGATACTTCCAGTACAACATAGCACAGTCTGCTATTGTCAATAAAAAGAGCATTTCCCAGTGTAGAGTAAAAGGAGGCAGCCACATAGATTTGCCATTGAAATACAAGACTTGGCAAAACCCAACTTAAAAGGAAAAATCATGGTTTAATTCTGATCTGTTTGGGGGCAGAAATTCATTTGGGGGTTCACTGCACAGAAAATGCTAGAGCTGGACAGGACAGCCCCTTATGTGTGTCTCTAGTTTCCAGAAGCTACTAAAGACTTGTCATTATACTGGCTTTACTCTGGTCTGATTGAAAGCTTGATTATCTGCTCTCAAAAACTAGAACAGGAATTGCTAAGAAAATTTAAGTTGCTCTTAGAGGTAACTCTGTGTGTGTATTTGACATGTAATTGTTGGTGATCACATAAAATGCTCATGACATAACTCGCTGGACACCCACGGCAAAGTGGTAGGGGAGCGGATGGAACATGTAAAACATGCTTCAGATAAAGAAAAAAAATCTACTGAAGAGATGCTGGGTTGATGTTGTTTTTTTAAGTTTATTTATTTTGAGAGAGGCAGAGACAGCGCGAGTTGGTGAGGGGCAGAGAGAGAGTGGGAGAGAGAGAATCCCAAGCAGGCTCCACACTGTCGGCACAGAGCCCTATGCGGGGCTCTTGAACTCACGAACCTTGAGATCATGACCTGAGTCGAAACCAAGAGTTGAACGCTTAACTGACTGATCCACCCATGTGCCCGTGTTTTTTTTTTTTTCTTCCCCTGTGTATGTTCTATTAGTCCTTAGTTTCTTTAATGGGATATTGGAACAAATCAGAAGGAAGTTTCAGCATATACAACTGAGTGAGACAGAAAGCACGGTTCAGTCATACATCAAATCCTGTGCAGCTTTAAGGTTTGCAGTTTAACCCAGTGTCAACTAGCAACACTCGTCAGGAACTCAGCTGAGAGAGTAGATAAAAAGTTAATTTATTGGCATTATGTTGTGAACACATACTGAAATAAGAGGGATTTTGTAAAGTAAATGTAAGCTCTGAGTATCAGGCAAACCAGCTAATTGTCAACTTCATCCAAAAAGTAGAACTAAAGTTCTTGAAAACATTTAGTTTTTCGAACAATGTCTTTACAGAATCTGAATTTTCTGTTTGTCTTTCTGCGTTCAAGATGAAAGTCAATATTACCTAAGTTTTTAGATATCACGGGGAAATTAAGTATTTAGACAATCCATGCAAGCTTATCTGATCGTTCAAGGGCAAATGTGTTTCTCTGAGTCATTCTTCATGGAAACCTTTCTAAAATGTATTATACGTAGGGGCACCTGGGTGGCACAGTTGGTTAACATCTGACTCTTGATTCTGGCTCTGATCATGATCTCACGGTTGTGCCCCAAGTTGGGCTCCGTGTGGAGTGTGGAGCCTTCTTGACCTCTCTCCCTCTTCCTCTCCATCTGTCTCTCTCTCTCTCTCTCTCTCTCTCTCTGTCTGCTTCCCCCCAGTCACTCTCTATCAAAAATAAATAAACCTAAAAAAATAAAAATGTGTTATATGTAGCTTTGCCTTCTTATAAAATACTGAACATAATTTGACCTCTAGTCAAAGACTTGGGGTCATAAATATCCTAGAAAGTATTACAGTTTTTCTCCTTCACTGGCAGATTGTTAATTGTCACTTCTACTGTCACTTCTCTTTCTGCCACAGTATCTGCCATAGTGGATTGTCCAGTTCCCTTTTGGAAAACATAACAGCCAATCATGAATATTGAATAAGAGTTAGTTACTCACTGAATGTGGGCCTAAGGGTCAAAGTGCAGGGCTTTCGTGCAGAAAGTCTGTTACTGCTTTGGGGGCCCTTTTGCAATATGTTCCCTGTGGGATCATGTTCTAGAAGGTTAAGGTTGTCAGGCAAATGACCTCTAGGAAAATATTTACAATATTTAAAAAAAAAATTAGCCAGATGGAGGAAATGTTAATGAAAACCACAATGTGATACTGTTTCACATGTATTAGGATGACTATAATAAAAACAAGAAAAAATGGAGAAATTGGAACAATCATACATTACTGGTGGGAATGTAAAATAGTGCAGCTGTTGTGGCAAACAGTCTGGCAGCTCCTCAAAATGTTAAACAGTTATCATATAACTGTTACCATTTAACATATACCATACTTGGTATGTACAGTATACACAGCACATAATTGAAAGCAGGGTTTCAAAGCAGATATTTACACACTCGTGTTCCCAGCAGCACAATTCACCATAGTCAATAGGTGGAAATAATCCGAGTGTCTATTAACAGATAAAGTGGATACATAAAATATGTTATACCCACAAAAGAGAATATTATTCTGCCATTAGAAGGAAGGAAGTACTGCTACATACTACAACATAGGACATACCTTGAAAACATCATGTTAAGTGGAAGAAGCCAGTTGCCAAGGCCATATATTATGTGGTTCCATTTATATGAAATATCCCCAAGGCAAATCCACAGAGTCGGAAAGCAAATTAGTGGTTGTGAGGACTATGGGGAGAGGAGAAAGTGGGAGTAACTGCTTAATGGGCAGAGGGTCTCCTTGGGGGGGTGGTGAAAATATTCTGGAATGAGATAGTGGTAACAATTGCACAATTTTTAAATATGCTAAAACCCATTCACTAAATTGTACACTTTCAATGGGTAAATTGGATAGTATGTGAATTACCTATCAATAAACCTATTATATTAAAAAGAAGTCAAAGGAAAGATTATGACCAAAAAAAAAATAGCCTCATGAGTGATAGAATTGGCTACCCCCAATTCTCCTTAGATTCTCCTTTCTTAGATTCTCTTTAGACACAAATTCTAAGTAATGTTACTAGGTGGAATTTCCAGAGCAACTTAGTTTCCATACTGTAGTTGACTTAGTATATTACGGAAAGTACTCTGAAAGAGGATATCCTGTAAGTTTATAAGTTTATGTTTAAAAATAGATTCAAATTTAATCCTACAAGTAAATGATATAGGCTTCCTGAACACATTTGAAAGAAAAATAACCAAAAAGGTGTATGTGTACACACACACACACACACACACACACACACACACACACATTTTGCTCAGAACATAAACACTGAGGGTCTCCAGAGGTCCATCAAGTATAGAAACAGATAACAAATAATGAATTTGAATTCTGAACTTTTGGAAAAGAAAATGCAAACAGAAATTGGACTCTGGCCATGATTTTATGTAAGATGGGGCAATGGGAAAAGGAATCTTCTTCTTTTTTAAAAATGGCCTGTCACCTCGGAGGGGACCCTGGCCCGTTCTTCAAAACAGTCCTAACGAGCGCATGTCCTACTTCAGACTTGGAACTGGATTTGGAGATGGCACAGAAGTGAGGGGCAACAGCTAAAGCAAGTTTGATGGTGTGCTGAGAGAGAGCAGTTCTCTTGCATAGCTTGGCTCCACTGTCTGTGTATAAAAGATGGGGAGTGGGTCATTTCCCCCTGTATTTTATAGAAGATAAACTTTTTTTCGGGGATAATACAGCTTTATCTTCACTACCTTATCCTTGAGTAAGAGGAATAGGATTTTGCTTCTTTAAAAAATGTTTATTCATGTTTGAGAGACAGAGTGTGAGCAGGGGAGGGGCAGAGAGAGGGGGAGACACAGAATCCGAAACAGGCTCCAGGCTTTCAGAGCCTAATATGGGGTTTGAACCTGCCAACCATGAGATCATGACCTGAGCTGAAACCGGATGCCCAACTGACTGAGCACTCATGTGTAGGACACAAAGAGCTACCATTTCTTAGTGTTTGCTAGTTCACAAGTGCTTTTATTTCCTTGATCTTGGGAGCTCTAAAAAAATAATAGAAAGCAGGGGTGATCACCCAGGAATACCAATAAGAGAAATGAAGCCCAAAGATGTTAAACAACTTGTCTGCAGTTACAAAGCCTTAGGTGGTGGAGTCACAACTTGAGGCAAGATCTGACTTCAAATTTCATGCTTAGATCCCGGCAAAGAAATGTAGTAGAGATCGTTTCTTATTTC